CAATGTGTGAGTGACAGGCAGACCGTCAAGACCGTTGCAGTGCGGCTCAGAGCTTATGTGTGTGTGTGAACCCTGGATTTACTGAATGTGTGTGTGTGTTGTGTGCAGATACCCTCAGTATCACTCAGGCAGACGGAGCAATCCTGTGTGTCTCAGGGAGAATGTAAAGTGAATTGAAGGATTAGAAGAGTGTGTTGTGTTGTGTGTGTGTGTGTGTGTGTGTGTGTGTGTGTGGCACTGGTCTGGAATACTAAGTGGATATGTAATCAAATCTGGATCGAGCTGCAATGCCTACGGGTAAGAGATCACACTTGCAATAAGTATCATAAACCGATGATAGTCTTTGTTGTTACTGTTATTATTGTGGAATGTTGGTTATGTGTAGAATTAGATCATAAGTGTCTTTATGGCGTGTGTCATATCAGCTCTTGAACGCTTTCTGTGAATGTGTGTAGCAACATCTGAACACTGTTAATTTATGTCTGAGCTTCAGAGCTGGTGTGTGTGTGGAAACTGCCCGAGTCTTACCGTGGCGTGAGGACACTCTGTGTTTAAGTAAACGTGTGTGTGTGTGTGTGTGTGTGTGTGTGTGTGTGTGTTGGCAAGTTGTGAACTGAGAGTATTCATTTGGCTTAGTATATGCTGGTGGGCGCGTGTACCAAACAGAAGTCCTCTACACAACCTCAACTGACTGAGATGTTTGTAAGTGCATATGTGTGTGTGTGTGTGGGTTAGTTTACTTAGCTGTACTGTGGGTACAAAATTGCCTCCAGACATTACCTAGATCAGACAAAACTTTCTAGTAAAAAATAAAGCAAATGATAAATTGTTCTTGGTTTGTTTGAAGTCATGAGATCTGTGTTTTCTGCGAGCATGGATTTACATTGATGCGAATAGTGTTACATTGTAAATAAGTTCATTTTACTTCAAAATTTCATGTTTGAGTCAATGTCTTACTTGCCATGTCTGTAATTATTTGTGCAATTTATTACTATTTTAAGTTGAATCCTACACCTTTTTTCAGTGTATATGTGTGTATTAAGTAAGTGTGTGTTTGGATTATGTTGTTGTTGTTGTTGTTGTGTGTAAACCTCTGGCTCTCTGTCGCTCCGTCTCCCCCACCCCTGACCTAAATTAGTCCCCCATGGGTTGAGTTTTTTGGGGGGATAATAACAGTTTAGAGTCTGCTTTAGACAATCCCAGCACCCCCTCAGGACATCTGTCCCTAAAGCAATACACCCCCCCGGGACACGACCCAGCTGGAGACAGCGAGAAAGAGTTTGAAGCGTGTGTTTGAAAGATGGCATAGAAGAATTCATTGAAAACCTGTCAGAACTTATTTGCAGATGACAATTACTCGTTCCAAAAGTTCAAAAAGCGGCCGTCCTATATGAGGTTTTACCCTCCCTTATTTAGAGCTTATTTTGAAAGTACACTGTCAGATAGAAACGTGCAAAAACTGTACCTTTACGGCTGCAACAGCTCGTCACTGGGCCAGTACCATTAAAGGGACAACTGTGTTCCTCATCTATCCCTAAAACTTTCATATACCTTAACTCTAAGGTACTAAACTGCACCTTTTATGGGTAGAATAGGTGCAAAGTTGTCCTTTTAAGGGTTCTGCCCCCGCTGTTGTACCTCTAAAGGTATAGTCTACTTGTTCTGCAAATCATGTTTTGTGTGTGTGCATTTGTGCGCCGTATATTAATGTCAAGTTTAGGTTTCTCTGAAGCAAATCCGTCTCAGTGAAATCTAATATGTGAGCAGCACAGGGGCAGTGGGTCACAGGCAGACATTCACCCCTTGTGTGTGTGTGTGTGTGTGCGTTCATTCATGCAGGATAATTCCCTTTGTCACATTCTATTCTTTAAATGCATTCAGTCCTCTAAGAGAACCTCTTACCAACCTGTCAGTAATTGGTTGTTATAAATGTGTAATTAGCATATTGTCTTTCAACACACACTGTGTTATACACGTGTAATAAAGCATGTGCATGTTATATTATCCTAGAGAGGTGAAAAAGTGGATCATGCATATCACATTGCTGCTGTCTGGGAATAGAAGCACATACATGACAGACGGTGAACCTCCAGACGGGGCGAGCACAGTTCAGATGTCGTCCCGGACAGCATGGCTTTGCAGATGATGGCGTAGATCATTAGAGGAAGCCTGATCTATGATCATCCATCCGTCAGGAGCGGGAATGTGTCCGTCCGTCTCCCGTGTGGAATAGTTTTTGATAAATTGATGTTTAAGATTTTCCTTGGACTGCAGTCAGGCTGTTTTGTCTTTTCCCGCTCTTTGATGTGTTATAGTAGATAGAGTGTCTGTCTGCAAGTAAAACTAAAATAACTCTCTTTCTTTCTACTGTGCATCAGGTCTTCACAAAGTAACTGAAGTGATGACGAGTTAGAATGCCAAACTTTCACTCTAAAAATACACTGGGTTGAAAACAACAATGTTAGGTTAATTTTACCCATCAAATTGGGTTGATTTAACCCACCATACTGGGTTGATTCATTTTTACTATAGTACTAGCATCTTTTTTTTTCTTTTTTTTTTTACTTCATACATAAATAAACGTTTATGGATTAACTTAAATCCTCTAAACTTAAAAAAAAAATACTCAACACAACTACTGGTTTGCATGGTAATTCCTTGAATTTTTTATCATATTTTACAGTATAGCATGTTTTATATAGTTTTGAATACATATGTGACCCTGGACCACAAAACCCAAGTCGCCAGTCACGAGTCGCACGGGTATATTTGTGGCAATAGCCAACAATACATTGTATGACTCAAAATGATCGATTTTTCTTTTATGCCAAAAATCATTAGGATATTAGGTAAAGATCATGTTCCATGAAGATATTTTGCAAATTTCCTACCGTAAATATATAAAAAATATATTTTTGTGAGTGGATTCAGCACAAGCGTGAACATAAATGGACAACTTTAAAGGCAATTTTCTCATTGTTTCGATTTTTTTGCTCCCTCAGATTCCAGATTTTCAAATAGTTGTATTTCGAGGAAATATTGTCCTATCCTAATGTACCATACATCACTGGAAAGCTAATTTAATCAGTATTAATATTTAGTATTAGTATTAATAATCAAATAATATTTGGACCAGTCTCTGTTGTCCCGTTTCCCCTGTAACGGCGCTGGATCTGGTGCCGAAGCTTGTGTCATGTTCAGCGGGGGAACTTCTAACTTCAAACGCCCTGTGTTTCACTCGTAGCCGAAATATGCTGTGACTGACAAACTTGTATTTTACCAAAGACACGCAACAATTTGATGAAGCTGCAACTTCTCTCTCCTGAAGAGGTCACGAAAAGCCTGCGATTAATAACTCAACCCCTGGGTAGTTATATCTGACCCAGGATCTGGGTAACACAAAAACTACCCAAACACTGGGTTGTTACGTCTGACCCAGGATCTGAGTAACACAAAAACTACCCAAACACTGGGTTGTTACATCTGACCCAGTAGCTGGGTAACACAAAAACTACCCAAACACTGGGTTGTTACATCTGACCCAGTAGCTGGGTAACACAAAAACTACCCAAACACCGGGTTGTTACATCTGACCCAGTAGCTGGGTAACACAAAAACTACCAAAACACTGGGTTGTTATGTGTGACCCAGGAGCTGGGTAACACAAAAACTACCCAAACACTGGGTTGTTACATCTGACCCAGTAGCTGGGTAACACAAAAACTACCCAAACACTGGGTTGTTACATCTGACCCAGGAGCTGGGTAACACAAAAACTACCCAAACACTGGGTTGTTACGTGCGACCCAGGAGTTGGGTAACACAACAACTACCCAAACACTGGGTTGTTACTTTCAGACCCAGGAGCTGTGTAACACCCAAACACTGGGTTGTTACGTCTGACCCAGAAGATGAGTAACACAAAAACTACCCAAACACTGGGTTGTTACGTGCAACCCAGGAGCTGGGTAACACAAAAACTACCCAAACACTGGGTTGTTACATCTGGCCCAGTAGCTGGGTAAAACACAAACTACCCAAACACTGGGTTGTTATGTGTGACCCAGGAGCTGGGTAAAACAAAAACTACTCAATCACTGGGTTGTTACATCTGACCCAGGAGCTGGGTAACACAAAAACTACCCAAACACTGGGTTGTTACGTGCGACCAAGGAGCTGGGTAACACAACAACTACCCAAACATTGGGTTGTTACATTTAGACCCAGGAGCTGTGTAACACCCAAACACTGGGTTGTTACGTCTGACCCAGAAGATGGGTAACACAAAAACTACCCACTGAACACTGAAAAAATAACCCAAAAAATTACCCAAAAGGCTCAACCCAGGATTTGGGTAAAACAACCAAAATAAAACCAAGATGTTTTAGAGTGTTGAGAACATTCTACAATCAGATCTCCGATCGGCCTGATGACTTTTGGGAGATAATGGGCCGGTCTGATTGCAGGAAATGGGCAGTGAAGAAGAGCTATTTATAGAGATGATTACTCTGAGTCATTATGTTCGATTGAGAGATAAGAAAGGATTTTTCTCAGGGTCTAAAGAAGAGGAGAAGCTTGGAAATGTTTTGAATCCGTTACAGACATTCCAGCTCCAGAAGTCGTGATGAAGTTCCAACATGTTTCAGAGACCAGAATAGACCTTCTTTTGCTAGCGCGAGTGTGTGTGCTGGCCTCGTGCTGGACAGAATTAATCCCATTGGTTATGGACACGCAGCTCTTGGCTGCAAAACACACATTGTCGTGGAGATATCAAGACCACGAGAGCTTTGTCTGATTTTGAGCATGTGTCCGATTCTTTTCGGTGCGGTGATCAGAGATCTTTTAAAGCAAACGTGACGGTGTGAAATCTTTGCGTTTGCATACGTTTTACGCTGTAGGACACGTTTATAATGAATACACAACTGACAGTGTTTGAGCCTGAGAATGCACTGCATGGTATCATCATTTTAAACATATGCACTTATAACATAATATATTAGGGAAAATCCGTCAGTGACGCATACGAGGAATTGAATTTGCAAACTGACGCACGTATTTGAGGCAGTTCATCATTAAAGATTGACCTTATCAGTGTGAGCGGATAGACAAGTCTAACAGAAAAAGATACAAAGCATTAGCCTCGTGAGACCATCCTGATCTCGCGAGCTTTCAAGGTTTCACTCGCAGATCAGTCTGGATACTTTCCGTTAAAGAAAATTTGGGAGCAGTTCACCAAACGAACGTCCAATCAGCGTTGGCTTTGAGGCGGGTTGAGGTGTGACGCAACGAGAAGCGCG